AAAAATAACTTTGTATTTTAATTATCTTCTATTTATTTAAATTTAATTGTATTTATTATAATTTCGTTTTTTTATGTTACATTTATTCTTTCTTTATATATTTTAAAATTTAAAAAGTTAAAAAAAATGTTAAAAAACTCATAAAAGTAAAAAAAATAACTTTGTATTTTAATTATCTTCTATTTATTTAAATTTAATTGTATTTATTATAATTTCGTTTTTTTATGTTACATTTATTCTTTCTTTATATATTTTAAAATTTAAAAAGTTAAAAAAAATGTTAAAAAACTCATAAAAGTAAAAAAAATAACTTTGTATTTTAATTATCTTCTATTTATTTAAATTTAATTGTATTTATTATAATTTCGTTTTTTTATGTTACATTTATTCTTTCTTTATATATTTTAAAATTAAAAAAGTTAAAAAAATGTTATAAAATTTTTAAAAGTGAAAAAAATTATTTTGTATTGTTATTTTCTTATATATAATTTTATTTTATTGTAATTTTTTAATTTTTGTTATTATTATTTTATATTTATATTGTTATGTATTTGTTCAACACATTAACATATTCGGAAAGAAAATGTAAAGTTCGAAAATAAAAAGCTGAATAAAATTATAAAATAAAACCAATTGTCTGTGTGAACATTTTTTGTTCTTGTTCTGGTTTTAAGAATATCTGCTGTGTTTGATTTATGATTTTAATAATTATAATAATAAATTAAGTACTATTAAAAAACAGAATTTTTCTTAAAAATAAATCAACGTAAATTTCTAGTTTTCATTAAAAGTTAAATATTAACAACATTATAGATTTTTAAAATAATTTCCATAAAATTATAACAATAAAATCAAATTCGTTTAAAGTTTTCAACTATACTTTCACATTATCATTACCTTTTTTATTTTAACAAATACTGTTTATTTTGAGTTTCATTTAACGTTATAAATTACAAAATTTATTTTTTTCGTATAACTCCAATTTGTTATTCACGTAGTATTTTTCAACACCGATATTTTTTTGTAAAGAAATAAAATAAGAATAAAACAATACTTAGGGATGAAAGATGAAAGATAAATTTAAAATTAAGTAAATTATCACACCTTTTAAATAACAAGGTTATAAATCCATTTTATAATAAATAATTTCGTTTGTAAATAAATTTAGAATAAAAATATGAAATCGAATAAATACTTGACTTCAAAATTCAATCTAATCAGAANCCAAATTTTTTAAAAATTTTTCGCCTGCGCGAAAAAATGAGCCTTTGATAAGGCTCGATTAAGGCTTAATTGTTTTTTAATGGGAGTGTGTTATCAAATTTATTTCATGGTTCCCAAGTTGTAGTGCATGGATTTGACTTCGGTAAAGTTATTTAATTGAAATGAATTTATACAAATAAAATTTACCCAACATTAAATTAAATTCATTTGAAATTTGTTTAAAGTTTTCAACTATACTATCACATTATCATTACTACTTTTATTTTGACCAAATACTGTTTATTTTAAGTTTCATTTAACGTTATAAATTACAAAATTTATTTTTCTCGTATAAGTTCTATTTGTTATTCACGTAGTATCTTTCAACACCGATATTTTTATGTAAAAAAATAAAATAAGAATAAAACAATACTTAGGGATGAAAGATGAATTTAAAATAANCGTAGTATTTTTCAACACCGATATTTTTTTGTAAAGAAATAAAATAAGAATAAAACAATACTTAGGGATGAAAGATGAAAGATAAATTTAAAATTAAGTAAATTATCACACCTTTTAAATAACAAGGTTATAAATCCATTTTATAATAAATAATTTCGTTTGTAAATAAATTTAGAATAAAAATATGAAATCGAATAAATACTTGACTTCAAAATTCAATCTAATCAGAAAATAAAATGAATTACTATTGTCAACAACTATTTTGATATAAATGGCAAAGTCAACAATTCACAATATATCGGATGAATGATATGGTTAAACATTAAGCCAACTATATATACATATGCACAAATAACGCAGAAAACAAAAGTGACAGCAGTGTTTTAGAAACGTTTATTTTCTTTAAACCGTCAGAAACTTCGTCATAACCAACAACAGCAAATGCAGTTTCTTTTTCACTTATTAGATACGAAATTCAGTCTACTATAACGGTCTGAATACAGGTTTACCATCGAGTGTTAATCGTACCATAAAATTCCATCCGTACCTCAATTATATGAAAGATATAATTAAGGTGCGGATATAGTAATTTGTTTTATAAATTCAGCATTAACATATTTTTTTCATCAGTAATTCGAAATAAACTATAGCCATTTGCTTTACCATTAGACTTTTTTTTTCTATTACTTCGCCAATCAAATAACTTGCCATAGACAATTTCGAATCCAACAGAAGTTGACAAAGCCCGTCAAAAATTAATTTACTAAAAGACTTTTTTACTATTTAAAAAATACGTTATTAACCAAATTTCCTGATAACATTTTTATGTTTTCTTAAGTAATAAACATCAAACGATATATTTCCACTTAACAAAATTTGACATACAGTAGACCCCCCTATAATTTCGGTTCCTATAATCACGATTCCTATAAAACTGCGAAAAAATTGCGACGGTATCCGTAAAAAACAGTAAAAAACTCCTATAATTACATAAAACGTCATGGTGCAGCCGAACTACTTTCCGCGCCATCAAGCGCCACGCTACAGAAAAATCGTCTGTACAGTATTATATATAAATTAGGTACTGTATATATAATTATATATTAACTTAATTTTTTGTAACTTTATTATAATTATATATATATATTTTCCGCCGCGTAGCGCCACGCTACGGAGACTTTAGGCGAACTATCGTCTGTACAGTATGTAAATTAGGTACCGTAAGTCTAATACAGTACTGTAATTTTATACATTTCTTGTGAAAGAAACATTTCTTATTCAACGGCGATAAAAATTATTTATATTAATGATGTCTCCAAAGTTCAACGAAGTTTTCGCAGAAAAATAAGTTATCAGAAATCGGCCGCGGTTTTGTGTGCTGCTTCGCGACGAAAACGAGCTTGAGCAATGGCGATGTCGAATGGTGCACACTCGGTAAGTAATCCTACAATTTTTTGTTTATAGAGTAGTTTATACGGATTATTTCCAAAAAATATATACGTATTTTGGAAATGTTGAGTCGGATTAGTCTAGAATCGATTAATTTTATGGAAGAACACCTTCCAAACAGCCGTAGTCCGTAAACTTGACACGTGTCGGGCTGTGATTGGAAAGACTCGTAAGAAATCGGATTCCTAAAGAATGGAACATATCTATGATCTTATAGGCAGGTTGAGTGTATTTCACATACAACATTAATTTGATCAAGAGTAGACTCTTTTACTATTGTTTCTCTCTGTGACGATGTAGTCTTTGAAAAAAGTGCCAAAATAGTCATTATATTTTTACATTTTTTATTTTATACCAAGCATATTCGTAATTACTTTGTTTATCAGGTGAACTGGAATTTCTCACAGAAAATTCATTATCAATTATAGCATTAAAATCTAATAAAAAATTACGAAATTTTTTTCGCGTTTTTCTATATAAATCCAGGTAAAATTAAATTTTTGAGCAGACGCTTGATGATCTAGACCAGTGGTTCCTAATTAGTTATTCCTGCGTACCACTTTAAGAAAGAGCTCAAATGCGCGTACCCCTTATAGCAGAAATTCATATTAATCCATACTAATATTATAAATTCGAAAGTACTTCTGTCTGTCTGTTACCTTTCCACGTCTGAACAGGTTTTAATAAAATTTGGCACAGAAATAGCTTACATGTTGGAGATAGACATGGGCTACATTTTACTGCGAGAAATTATATTACTCCAACGAGAAAACTC